GTTGGTCTAGAGACCTCCTGAGCTCCCTCCCAACCTGACTTGTCCTATGACCCCATGTCTTTGCCAAATGCCAGACACAAGGCTGGAGTGGTGGCACTCTGCTAGGATCCATCAGCAGCCAGGCTCAGCATGTCACTTACCTGGCCAAGTTCTCCACCATCCCCATGGGACTTGACCTGAGATTAAACACAGGGCTAGAGGAGAGTTCTTCTAGCTGTGGAGCAAGAAGAGGCTGCAAAGGGAGGAGATATGTGTTACCTGTGTGACAGGGGTACCACAGAGGAGATTTTAACCAGGGCTTTTCATGCTCTGTGAGGAAACTCTTCCCTGCCCAAGTCACAAGAAACAAGAAGAGCCAGTGTCCATCAAAGCAGCCTTGTAGCTCAACCCTGTAGCACAAGGTGTGTACAGGGAGGGCAGCAGCAATGGGGCTTTCCAGTAACTGATTAATTGCACATCTTCCTTATCCTACTCCTGCAAGAGGCTTGGCTTTGAGGAAAAATTAGTGTTCTTCCTGGGCCACAAGTTGACCCTCCGTACGCCACTGCACTTGGGCAGCCCGACTCCTGCTCTGAGACCAGCCCACTGCTCAGTGAGCTGTGTGGCTCCATGGAGCCACCAGCTCTCCATGGGCACCTGCACTATCATGTCTGCAGAGCTGAACAAGCTCCTCAAAGGTTTCAAGGTTTGAAAACACCACAAAACTTGGGTTTTGAGGCATGTGTTTGAAGTGTCCCATTACACCGAGATGACAGAGTTACACATCACATAGCATCTTACAGTAACTCCTCACCTGTCTGATGGTATCTGCATCAGTTGTCTTAAAAATGTGTTAAAGGACATACAGAAGCAACTCTTGAAGAAACCAAGCTGTGACTTGGTGTATGGACATCTCTGGGAAAGATGTTCCCTAGGGCCAGGATGCTGGCACATGGAGCAGTTAGTTGTATGGCTTTCCCCACAAGCAGGGCTAAAACAGAGAGGCTTTTCTGCGCACACCCGAGCTGCCAGGCGGTGGTGTGAGTGGTTCATTGCAGCCCTGCTTTGCTCCCCACCAAAAACGCTCCCCCATCCTGCCTGGCTTCACTGTGTTTATATCGGTGCGTCCTGCCTGCCAGAGGGAATTTCTGCATACGCTGTGACTTGTGGGAATAACTTTGCCATCGGACAGTAGAGGCAGCAAACGCAGTAGTGACCATGACCTCATGCCACGTGGACGTTGTACCACCAAGAGACTTTGCCACTTGGAAGCCGGGCTGCTCTTCTCTGGGTAGTGCATCTACCAGGAGACGTGGCAGGAGTGTCACTGGCAAACGTTGCATGTTTTAATTCTTCAGAAAAATATGTTCCTCTTTCTCCTTCAAAAGCTGCTTTCCTTTTCAATGGATGGTGTTAGCTGTGTCATTGCTTTCTACTTATAACCTCAGTGTTCTTTTGAGTTTCTCTGAAGTGAATGATGTATCTATTGGTGCCGCTGAGTTTCTTCAATTTTCCTTACAAGCAGCAGTAAGCGGAGAGTTTCTCAGAGCCGTATCTGGCTGTGTTCAGAGGAACGAGAACAGGGAAACAATTCCTAATGCATTACAGTTTAATACTAGAAGCGATGCTGTTTAACCAGGGGTGATCTTTTCCAGCACGCTTTAACCCCTATTATTCCGAACCCGAAACGTGCAGCACCGTGACTCCTTCCCTTGCACAGTGTGCAGAGCAGGAACTGTAACTGAGAGCAGAGGAGCTTTCGCTGTGCTGTGGGCAGCAGACACTAACTCAATAGACTGTAAAGCTTTGAACGTCAAAGTAATAGTGTCTTCACTACGCTCTACAGAAGAGAAAACCAAGGTTTTAGGGCCAGACTCCACGCTCAGTTCTCTTGGGGGAGAGAGGGGTTAGGCAAGACAGACACTGCGATGAGGTGTGCCCCCCAATAAACATTTCAAGACCCTGGATTCCTTCCAATTTAACTTCTTTTACAAATCCAGTAAGGTTTCTGTTGGCACAGGCTAGTTCTTTATTCTTGCTGGTACACTTCGGGATGGAAATCTCAGTGCCAAGGGACAACCCATCTAAGCATAAAACTTAATTGGAGATTAACTCATTTAGAGCTTTCACACTCTTCCGTATATGACTCAAATGAAATGATTTTATTATTATTTTTTTTTTGCTTCTCACAACTGCATGCATTGAGCATGTCTGAAGTCTTTTATAGACTCAATACTGTTTGGTTAAATAAACCATTCTGACAAGGAAGTAAAGCCAGATTTTTCTGCTGAATCATTGTCATTGTCATTATTTTTATATCCCTTTCCCAAGCCCAGTCCATATTTGTGCAGCACCAGTCCCTCGCCCCTCAACTCCGACCTGGGGTCCCTACAAGTGACAACAACAAATATACACTGTGCGTTAGCAGTAAATAGCCTTCAAGCAAACCATCCACACAAAATATCTTCTTGCTAGATCCCTGGAGTGAGGATATCACTTGGCCAGGATGTCACTGTGCCTCTGACCTGCCTATTCCTGGGCATGGTTTGGAGCTTGCAAAGATCAAACCACTGGCCAGAACGTGGGCAGAGCTCCAGCTTAATTCGTGGTAGCAGAGCAAAGAAAAGAACCCACAGGTGAGAAAAAAAAGAGATGAGAGCTGTAGAGGGAATGTGGAAGTCATGAAAAGGTGCTGGATTTGTTAATGAAAATATTAACTGTCACAGTTAAGCCTTGTGCAGTTACAGGTGGGTTTAGTTTTTCCTTGGCTCTGCCACAGCTGCTTGACAGTTTCTGCGTGCATTTCCACCACCACAAGGTCTGGGCTAATGCCCAGTCTGGTAATATGGGATAGTTTGCCCTTGACATGCAATTACAACATAACTGTCCTTTGCAGAACAAAGCAGAATCTGGCTTTGATGTTTGGACACACATGAAAATGTTTGAGTTTCATTCCTCAGCCATGCATAATCTCCAAAGTCCAAGGTTAGCATCAGCATTAAAATCAAATCACTGCCCTCTGCATGGGTAAGGCTGTGATTTAACTTCTGTAAGGACTGATGTTGTCAGAGCCCTAATTATTGAAGGAAAAAAGCAAAGCAGAGCTTGTAGAGGACAGTTTTACCCTGCATTGGATCCAGTGGATAAAACAGAGATGTTTGGGGACTCATTAGGTGGCAGTGACTGTAGCCTGTAAGGGATAGAGGTGGTTTTCTCATGCCCCACTTTGGTTTTCTAGCCCCTTCCCAGCACCCCCATCCCATTTCTTATATCCTCCTCGGGTCTTTGCAGAAGACGAGGTCTAAATTTGAAGGGGGGGGGGGGTGACGCTTTCCAATAGGCATCTTCTGGGAACACCGTCGGCCCGTGGGACTCAAGGACAGTGTGGAGAACCATCGAGATCCCAATCAGGCTCAAGCACGAGCCGGGTGCTGGGAGCTCAGCCCCCACCAAGGCTCAGGCACCCATCCCCTCCCAGGAGGACAGACCTGTTCCTGGCCAGCATCCAGAGTCCAAAATTTCTAAGCTTGTGCAATGATTTGGCTTGAAACAGGGAGCTGGTTCCATGCTGCGGGGGATCCTGACTCACCTGTACGTACCCACGCTCCAGCCGTGTTACGGTCAGTGGAATGACTCCAGACGCACACACACAGATCTTTTTTATCCCCAGAAATCGTACACAAGACACAGGGCTGGAATGCACAACCTCCTGCAGCCCTGGCAAGGAGGTGACCATATGTGTTCCTAACTCACATAGACACATGAAAATGGGACCGTAAGTTATTACTGATGTTTGCAACTCCCTTCTCCCCCCACTGACGTGGTAAATGAGATTGACAGGATCTCTCCTTTTCTTAACTGTGAACAGGGAATGAGCTGTCAGCGTGTCCTTGCTCAGTACATCCCAACTCTGCTCCCTCTGGGGACCGCACAGGAGAACGTTTTAATCAGATACAGGAAGGGGACTATAGAAAAGACAACTGGAAAACCTCAAGGGAAATCCTTATGTCTGTGGAGAGGGTATTGGTTGTTCTCTGACCTTGCAGGGGTCTACTACAACCTGATGCCATCCTGCTGGTGGTACTTGATGTGGGAAATAAATGTGTCATTAAGGAGCTGATAATGGAATAACGCAGTCCCAATGCTGGAGTGCAGCCAGGCTCACCCACAGGCTCCCTGGCCACTCACCAATTTGCCAGCTCATCTAGTTTGATCTTCGCTTGCACACCCACTCGCACACTTGTGCCAGCTGCCGGCACCCATGGTCTTGAATTTAAGGAAAGGAATTTAATAAAGTAATAGGACAGACTGTGCTGATCAGGTGCATGGTGTGACCAGACGAGCGTATGGACCAGCTGCATGTTTACACATGACCAGCCCTTTTTATCCCTTTACCCCTCTACTTTCCTCCCCAAATCACCTAAATCCCTGCCTTTTCCCTCCTTTGGTTCCTCCCCTAAACATCCCACCGTAAGTCCTGTGCAAACCCTGCACGTCCCCCCTCCCTTGACAGCAATCCCCCTTAGCCCAGATGGTGATCCAGAGAGCTGCTGCTCCCAATGACACATCTTGATGGGTCTCCTGCCAGGACCATGGGGCTGATGGGTCTGTTGAGATGGCCCTGGGAGACACCTGGACAAAATACTTGCTCCTTAGATGTCCTTAATTTCTTTTCCCACCTGTCAATATGCCCCTGCACTCCCGTAGGCTTGTACAGATGGGCTTTTGATGGGCTGACGGTGCCCGGGATGGGGCTGGGAGTAGCCTAGCAGGGTTCTATTTGTCTCTCTGTGCTCCTTTGTGGGTGTGCAGATGAGGTTTTATCGTATAACCCAACACCACAATAACCAGAAACGCAGAGCAGCAATACATGTGAAGGAGGTAAAGAGAAAAGCCATTATAACTGTTAACCAAACAAGATCATATCAGTGTTGGCACCGCACAGATCTGATAACCATGGGAACATGCAATTTATTTCACAGATAACACCAGAACAAACAATACAACAAGGATTTCCCAAATTAAAAGCGTGGCCGGTATCTGAACCAAACGTCACGAACAGGCTGCATTGTCCCGAATCCCCAGCGGCTGATGTCTATCACTGGGATCTCCTCTTCTTTGTTGACCAGCTCCAGGTCATAGTAACTCAGCATCAAGAACACAAACAGTTTAATTTCAGCAGCAGCAAAGAAGCGCCCGGGACAGATGGATACTCCTGCCCCCCAAGGCATGTTGAAGTATTTCAGCCTTTTCCCATTTTTGTAGAAATCTTTCTTGGTGCCGTCTGGGTTCACGAAGCGGTCGTACTTAAATTCATGAGGGTCAGGGTGGATTTCTGGGTTCATCTGCACAGAGCTGTGTGGGAACAGAGCCACCCTGTCTCCTTTGCGGAGGGTGTACTCTGCCCCGCTGCTCATCTTAAGGCTGGTGTCTTCCAGGACAGCTCTGACTAGTATTGGGGCTGCAACCAGCCTCAGGGTCTCCTCCAGAGCACTGTCCAGAAAAGGGGTCTGGTTTAACATGTCCCTAGTGATGTTCATTGGTGGGGTCCCTGGTTTCACTTCCTGGCCATTCTCCCTTGAGACTTTATCCACCTCTTCCTTCACAGCCTTCATAGCTTCTGGATGTTTCATTAGATACAAGAGGAGCCAGAAGGCAGTTGGGCCTGTATTGCCTTGGGATGCCCAGAGGAGCATAAACATGAAACGATCTCGCATGTACTCAGGGGCACCGTTTTCTGCCAGAAGTTGGTCTTGATCACTTATCCACCCACTGATATTGTCCTTCTGCCAGGTCTTCTTCACAGACAGCATGCTCCAGAAGAGCCTCTTAAGCCGTTCAGCTTCTATTTTGTCCTTGGGAGGCAACACAGCATAGGCCAGGCGAGGGAAGAGACGGTCATACTTCCGAAACTCATGGAAAAGTTGGTTGGAGTGGATGCGATCTTGCTCATTAGCTTTCTCCTTGTTATCTGCCCCTTGGTGTGGCTCAGTGCCATACAGAGCCAGGTACCCAGCTCTGAAGACGATGTTGTAGCAGTAGTGGAAGAGGCCATCCTCTTGCCATACCTGCTTGTCCTCTCCTGAGCTCATATTGAAAAGCATCAGCTTCTGAAAGTTCTCCATGGTGGCCTGTATCATGACAGTGAGTCCATCTCCCATCAGATGCTTTGTGCTTGATGCATGGATTATGCTATGGTTGGCTTTGATGGGCTTGTAGCCAAAAACCTGCAGGACCAGTTTAGATGCAAAACTCCTAAAGTCTAGTTTAGATCGTGATTCCTTCACGATGGCTCCAAAGCAGAAGGGGTCCATCACGAAGGTGAAGTAATAGCCTCCAATCAGCACCGTGAAAATATCCCCGTGTTTTCTCTGCATCCTTTTTAGAAACTCTGAACTGTCCTTTCTGAAATCCAGTGCGTAACCCAGCCAGGGAATGGTACCTTTGTCCAGAGGTGGCTCATCAGGTCCCCGTCTCCGAAACATGCCCAGGAGGTAGAGTCCACTGAGCAGCGTTGCCATCAAGGTACAGAGGAGAATCACCCAGAGCGCCATGAGAGCTCTGTGCCTGTCCAGGAGCTTGGACTAGAGCTAGGTTGGGGCAGGGGAAGGTGATTTTTATTCCCCTCCAGCGGCTGATATGCAGACACACAGCTGACAACCTCTGTCCCCATTGGCAGCAAGTGTTTGCCTTTCCCCTGTGGAGCCCTCCAGTGTGTACTTCTGTGACGAACAGACAAATTTTTAAGGTGGAAGGTACCTTGTAATGAAGTTGGAGTTACTGCTTTGTAAGGCAGATGGGTTTTGGCGTGTGCTCTGCAGCAGCTTAAGCAAATTCCCTTTTCCAGGCTGCATGGAGCCCAGTTTTTGAAAAAGAGGGTTCAGAGAATTTCACTCAGTGATTTCTGCCTTTAAGACCAGGCTATGGACACAAGCTGCAGGCTGAAAAAAATGAAAGGAAGAGTGGAAGTTGGAAATGCTACTGGAAATGAGCTCAGGATCGAGGGAAGGGGGTTGCAGCTGAGATAATTTGGTCTCAAAAGCCAAGGGAAGGAAAGGTGCCCAACATTTTGACATTCTCCAACGCACAGTGCCCCATAAGTGCTTTGCTAATGAATAGTGCAAGCTCTGCTAACCTGTACAAGGACAAAGCAAAGCAGGTCTGCTTTTCTCATGGGTGATGAGGGCTTGAATCAGTTGCATTTGCTTTGTATCAGATGAGTCCAACATCTGTGTGCGGCCAAGACCATCTCCTGGGTAGAGAGCAGTGGTGCCCAGAAGGATGACAGCACTTTCTTCTGTGCACATGCACACACAGTGCTCGGCGGTTACAAACCAGTTGTGTGTCCCCCAGCCAGCAGAGAACCCCTGGCCCAGTGCTCTCCTGCTCCCACCCCTGGGGCTGCCATTTTTCCCCATTTTTCCCTTCTGCTTCTTGATCTCTCCTGCTCCTCACTCTGATGGGGTTCAGGGACGATGCCAGGGACCCCGTGCCCCATCTGGCACTATGCCTCTGGGTGCTGCCACCCTGATCTGTGCAGCCAGTCACCACAGCCCCTGCCCCAGCCGCTGGCACTTGGACCTCGCAGCACCCTCATGTAGGATAGAGAGTGACATAATATGGAAAAAGAGTTAAGAAAAAGTATTTAATAAGGTGATAGGACAGACTGCTGTGAGCAGGCGCAGGGCACGCTGCTTACACGCAACCAGCCTCTTTTATATCATCTCCCCTATTTCCCCCCACCTTTGCCCTTCCCCCGATCATCCCATCATATGTTTTGCACAGTCCCGTGAGCCCTCCTTTGTATGGGATCACAATCTTCATCTTAGTTTTTGCTTCCCAGCTGCTCTCTCCTTCCACATTCCCTCCCAGTGACCTGACCCATGAAGGCCACAGCATAGCATCAGCCAAATATCTATTCTGGCTTTTTTTTTTAAGGAAAGCTCCCAGCCTTACCATTTTGGAAACATGCTGTAGCAATGTTGACAAGAAAAATAACAGCAGTGAAAACAAATCCAACTTCCTACACCAACTCAAAGCAATTCTCGGTCCAGTAACCTTGTCTAGTAATAAAATTAAAGTGATGAGTGTTTTCTCTTAAATTATTAATTTTATTTGTACAATTCTAGGCAACTCCCATGCTCAATAGGTTTCCAGGCTGGAAAGGGCCCATATAAGGTTCAAGAGTATTTGGGGTGAATAGTACCTTTAAATGAAGGTTAGCAAATTAATAAGCTTGAACTTTAAAGCTACACTGGGTAATAAGTATTGGCTAACAACTACTCATGCTCTTCTGTTCAAGGCCATGCTCTCACTCTGCGGTGTTGCAAAGTGAATATTTACATTAACGACGGTATCCGTGGATCTTTTTTAACTTGTCAACGCAGATCTTCGGGCAGGCAAATACCTCCACCACCATTCTGCTGAGCCCACTTTTTTTTCTCTTTCTCACTAGTTGTTACTGGTTTGAACTTTGCTGCTAATTGAACTGATCTTAAATCAGTTGATAATCGAACTGATCTCTAACCAAGGATCTATCCCTCAGAAAGACTCAGTTTCCTGCTCAGCAGACCAGAGTGTGGCACAGCTCATCGTAACAGAGAAACCCATCACTGGCAGACAACCCAGTTTGAAGGTGTCTAATTCCTCCTGTTGTCTCTCCTGATAGACAAAGGGATGAGCCTGGTTGCACATATTTACCTGGCAGATGGCAAAAGCCAGGAGAAGCAAAGCTACCCCCCAGGCTGGACTTCTGGCCACCAGTGTCTGGCCTGATAGATGAGCACGGCAAATCCATGCCCCAGCCCACACCATGAGCTGGAGGGATAATGGGATCGCTCTCCTCCACCAACTCCTTTGGGATCTGTTGGAGAAGTTCTGCACAAGTTTTGGTTTGCATTTTTAAGGGCACAGCATCTAGACAAGCTGCTCCTGCATCCACTGATGCCTCACATATAGTCCAGACATGAGCTGGGCTTCCATGAGCATAAACCCAGGGCAATCCTTTTATAATAATTCCAGTTACAACAGAAACAAATCCCACACATTTTTTTCTAATCCCAGTGTGGAAAATCCTCATCTAGATTCCGGCACTAGGATGAAATATCTGGTCACGCAGAGCTGTGGGCTCACACCAATTCCATTGCACACACAGTAAAATACAGCATAGAGGGCATACACGTAATGTAAATAATGTAAATATTTATCATGCATTTGTGATGCTCAACATTTCTATCTCAGCTGCATATCTGCTGCAAGACTGGCTTGTATCCGAGAATTGGATGTCAAAGAAACCACTTCTCCTGAAAATGGCCTGAGGGATCTTCCATAAATATAACCTGAATCGTTTCTTCACAAAAGCATAGAGCAAGGGGTTGAGACAGCAGTGGATAAAGGACAAACTCTCCGTGATCTGCATGGCATAGTCCAATTGTCTACTGCTTTCACAGCTCCTGATCACACCGACATCTTGCAGGGAATGAAGGATGAGAACAAAGTTGTAAGGGGACCACAGGACAAAGAAGACAGCCACCAGAGTAAAGACTAAGCAGAGTGCTCTCCTTGAGCCAGGCATCTGAGACATGGTGAGGACACATGCTATGCGGGAATAGCAGAACACCATGAAGAGGAAGGGAAAAAGGAAACCCAGGATGTTTTGAATGACCCGAAAGACAACTTTCCAAAATAAGTGTTTCTGGCCATAATCATGGGTGCAAACAATGGTTTTGTTGTGGATTTGCCTTGTGGTGGTAAAAAGGCCATCAGGAATGGAAAGAAGTATGGAAAGGACCCATACCACCACCAAGACGAGGATGGACTTCCTCCATGTCATGGAGCTGCGAGAAGAACAAGCATGAACTATCTGCAGATACATGTCCAGGCTCATACAGCTCACAAAAAAGACACCACTGTAGAAATTCACAGTGTACATGGCATTTAAGACCGGGCACAACATGTCCCAGGTCACCCACTGAGAAATGCACAGAGCCCAGAAAGGAAGGGTTAGTAGCAAGAA